TTGTATTTTGCACAACTCTGTTGCTTGTGAAGCTCGCACACAAGAATTTCACTCACATGTGCTGTACCAATGTACCTGCACATGTGATGTGACAATAAAAGTGATTTGATTTGATTTGATTTGAGATCCTCGGAGATGTGTGATTTGTTTGTCAAGCTCATTAATGTGATAAAAGTAGAGTTTGAAAACACATCAAGAATAAAAGCCAGAGCACGAGCTAACTTCCTCCCCTCACCCCCAACCAGTTACTGCAGATAGCTGCTCCTCACAGAGGTCTCTTATTATTAGAAGGAGTTTTTCCTTTGTCATATGACCCGGGATAGAAAGAGATTAATGACATTATCTGTTACAATGAATGTTTATGTGAAAATGTGCAAAAACAAATCTGACTGAAGTAGAATTATATAAAACTGAATGAAACATGAAGTTAATTATTTCCATATGTGATGTGAAAGTGACTTTTTTATGTTAGAATAACAAAGATAACGTGATAAAGATTTTAAAGTTTAAACTTTGTATTAAATCGAGTAAAGCAGACAGAGAAAGATAAGCGTGGGTGGACATCAGATGATGTGATGTCCAGTAGGATGGGGGAGGAAAGGGTGAGCAGGTATAAAAGTGAGGTGAAGAGGAGATGGAAAGAGAACCACAGTCCAGCCTGTGAACTGGTTTTGTCATTTTGGCTTTTCGCCTGTTGCCGTGTTAGATGGTTCATTCAGAAGGATTTTGACTGACATCATATGTCCACTGGATGCTGCTGTCCTGTTGGGTGATGATCATCAACACAGGACTCGGGGATAGCAGCATCTTTACACCTGGCTGTGCCCATCTTCCTCCAACCTCTCCTCACCAAAGATAAGAGCAAACTCAGCTCACAGTAGGTTAGTTAGAAAGTAGAGTTCAGGTGATTTGATTATTGTTCTTTGATTTTTACTATTTAATTTTGCTTTGCTCTGCTAAATTGCTTTAAACAAATTTCCTGCAATTCCTGCAAAGTCTTTAGTTATCCATCTTTATTAGTGCAAATAGCTCTCACAGCTTACCCTATCCGCAGTAATAAAATAATGTTTAATTGGAGCCTGCTATCCAGGCTACTAAAACCATCCCAGAAATAACAAATGCCACAGTCAACAGGAAAGCTACTGTTAACATGTTGGACTGATAGGATTCGACCTGCAAGGTTACTCAGGTTTCTTCTTATCGGGGTTTGCAGGGAATGGATGATTTCAAAGCACTTAGGACTGGGCGAGTCCAGAAATCTACATTATCTACTGCGTAAAACTCATAGAACAAAGTCAACTTCCTGTACAGGAGTTTCTGTGGGCCTTGATGGAGCTCAACGCCTTCCCACAGATACCAAGTGTTTGCTTATTGGGTGGTTACAGGGAGTGCAGAATTATTAGGCAAGTTGTATTTGTGAGGAATAATGTTATTATTGAACAACAACCATGTTCTCAATGAACCCAAAAAACTCATTAATAT